AAAATGCCGGTAGGGGCGCTGTTCTGGGCAGCGTAACACATTTCAATGCATTTTTAGCCAACTTCGAACGCCATTTCGAAACCTTTAAAAAAATGGCCGCACTTAGCGTTTTTTAACTTTTTGGTCATCTTAGCGAGCTGAATCTACAGAAAAAATTTCAGATTTTAGTTTTAAGTTTAAAAAATTTCTTGTTTTTTGTTACCTCCTTTGCGGATTTTATCTGTGCACCGCTAACAAACATAAAAATCTAAACCGCCAATTTTTGAAATGATTTGACCATTGTCAACTTCCGTTGTTACAGGCTTTGCAAACAAAACAAACTAAGTTGTGCAAACCTCGCCGCTTTTTTCCGTGCACTGTTCCGGAATGCATATGCAATCACTGTGCTGAGCAAATACATTAGCTGTAAATAAAAAGAAAAACTCCGTTTTTTATAGTGAATGGTAGCGCTCTCCGCAAAAGGGACCGTAACTAGTTTACATTTTTTTTGTAGCGACAAGCGCGCATTCTTTCTTGCATGTTTCTTTTTTTTCACTGTGTTACACACACTTCACAACACGCAGCTACTGTTCTCCGTGTTCTTCCCACTGTTGACCATGCATTTTTTGGGTTCCTGTGTCTAGGGATCTATTGGTTGTAAAACTCAAACTCGGTTGTTTAAATATTTGTTAAAATTAATGTGATTTTTGTGTCATGTTTGGGCAAAATTAGATAATGGGAAATGGTTTTTCAACACGTCAAAGACAAATAGACAGACAGACGGACACAAACCGACATTTTAATAAAGTTTTTTTTTAAATCTTGCTTAATGAAAGCTGGCACATTTCTTCATTGACTACAAAATCCTCCCTTCTTTGTCTACAAAAGAAGAAGCACTAGCAAAAGAAATGAGCGCTGGCACAATTTTTTATTGGTTACAAAATCCTCCCTCCTCTGTCTACAAAGAAAGAGGCACTAACAAACAAAGAACGCTATCACATTTTTTCATTGACTACAAAATCCACCCTCCTCTGTTTAAAAAGGAAAAAACATTAACAAAAGAAATGAACGTTGGCACAATTGTTCATTGACTACAAAATCTACCTTCCTCTGTTTAAAAAGGAAAAAACACTAGCAAAAGAAATGAACGTTGGCAGAATTGTTCATTGGTTGCAAAATCCTCCCTCCTCTGTCTACAAAAGAAGAGGCACTAGCAGACAAAGAACGCTATCACATTTTTTTCATTGACTACAAAATCCTCCCTCCTCTGTTTACAAAAGAAGAAGCACTAGCAAAAGAAATGAACGCTGGCACAATTGTTCATTGGTTGCAAAATCCTCCCTCCTCTGTTTACAAAAGAAGAGGCAATAGCAAACAAAGAACGCTATCACATTTTTTCATTGACTACAAAATCCACCCTCCTCTGTTTAAAAAAGGAGAGGCATTAAAATAAGAAATAAAAAATAACTCACTGTGGTGTTAATACCGCTAGTATTTATAAGCCCAACCTATTAAGCGGAGAGCCAATTCTGATTGGTGGTTTCTACTTTTTTGACTAAAAAAGTAGCCCTCCGCAAAAGAAACAAACACTACCACATTCCTTTATATAGTGCAAAATACACCGCCTTCTGCTTAAAAAGGTAGAGGCAATAGAAAAAGAAATGGACACTACCACACAAACTTCGAGGACTCACTTTCACGCGTATATAAAGCGATGCATTTGAGCATTTGAACTATTTGCTCAAGCAGATCAGCTCGTCACACTTCAACACAACTAAACCAACAAGCAAAAATTTTGTCAGTCAACTTGACTTTGCTTTTATTCATGTTACCAGACATTAACATTTTTAAATTTCTCATTGTGCTAAACTTTTTCTAAATTCAAATTAATTTTTCATTTAATTGCCTTTCGGGCTTTTAATGTTTTTGACTGTTCGTGTTTATCTTGGATGAATCATCACTCTTTTTGAAACTACAATGCCGCCACCTGAAAAACAGTTTTCAAACCAAGACATACAAATCAGTGTAACATCTCCTTCTGTTTTTGCCACTCCACAAACAATGTCTTTTATTTCTTCTACTGGGGGTAACCCACCAGCTCCTGTGTCAATTGGGGAATCTCAATTACAAAATCAAAGTAGCAGTGAAACTTTATTTACAATCTCAGGAGATCTAATGAGAGCATATAATGACGAACTAACTAACAATGATTTCGTGTATCGCCAAGAACTATTGAAAATTGAACGCGAGCATCGACTTCGAACAATAAGTGCTCTTGTGAGTTTTTTCAGTAGTGCACGTCGTCATGACTCCAATACTCTCAACAACATTCAGCCAGCTTTTTCTGTTTCGACTGCAACTGAAGGACCTAGTCAGGTACCTGTCTATCGCCCAATTATACAGAACGGAAAGAATGCTGACATCAGTCAGCACAATTCTCGCGTGGTCGTACTTCAACTCTTCTGCAATGAATACATCAGTGCCTTGGGCAAATACTGTGATGTAGTAGTTCCCAACGAGACAAAATTGAGAGAGCATCTTGAAACAGCTCATGGGATCAGAGCGTTTCAATGTCTCAGCAAAGATCCAAATTGCCAAAAAAGATCGTTTAAAAAACAGTAAGATATTTGGTTTTTATGACATAAAATTAAGTCTTAATTTGTAACTTTTATTTTTAGTTCTGAACTCCAGCTGCATGTGAACAACTATCACAACAAAAGGTTGCAATGCAAAGGTGCAAATTGCAAAAAAGTTTTCACAACTTCAAATGGAATTTCGCGTCATTTTGAAAATGTCCACCGTAAAGGGGACTTTCAATGTAATAAGTGCAGCATGGTTTTTAATTACATCAGTTGTTTTAAAAATCACAAAAACTGCACAAGTAGTGGAGTAAAAAATAACTTTCTAGAACCGGTTCGAAACCTGCGCTCAAATTAATACAACGTAATGAGCTGCTTCGGTTGCTGATTACACTTTTGACGCCGAAAAATGTCCCCTGCGTAACTACAAATCCGACTACCATTGTCACACCTATTAACTTATCGATGTTCTTTTTATATGAATCCTTTAGCCAACTTTTTATTTGAACTTCTTTGCTCTGTGTGTCCCTATTTTCCACTACTTAGGCCAATTTAATATAAGGTACTTTTTGGTTTTCAATATACTCTATCTTTATTATTCCCTTGTAGTTCCAGCTGCATTGACACATCATTGTCACATGAACACAGCATAAACTTCACTCTTTTACTCTCCCTGACTTATAATTGTCATTAATTGTCACACTCTCACTTTTTATCTCTCTCACTACTACATAAGCAATCTCATGTAGTTTTAACTTTACCAGTCGATTACCAGTTTAACTATCTTTACTACTTGTCTTTTTTCACTACACTAAATGATTCGGCACTAGTTGTTTACCATTAAGTACACAAACAAAAAAATCTCAATGAAGCTTACTAATAGACAAACAGGGCCCCCAAAATGAGCCGATTTTACAACAATTTTTCGCTTGTTGCTAATTAACTTTTGTAACTTTTCTTCATTGACAAAATACCAAAAAAATTAATAAAAAATTAAAAAACCCAGTTAGTGTTGTACTGTAGATCGTTGGTCGGCCGTGAAGCCGACCAAGTTAAGTTGATCTGCTAACGTGAATCCATTAAACAAGCAAAGGGACAAAATGGCTTTTGTGGCTGTGAGGCCTTTATTGGTTACGAACGTAAAGTGAAAGGAATCACCATCTTCCTGTGATGACCGGTGGTATTTACCGGGACGCGAGTAAGTAGGTGCGAGTGTTAGCACTGCTGTTTTTGCACTGCGTGTCCTTGTCGGAGTGCTCGAAGCTTGGACGGATATCCACGTTGGGTAAACGTTTGTCGGGTGATCGCTCGAGCATGACTGTACGTTGAGCAAACGTTCGTTAAGCGAACGTTTGAGCCTGACTAAAACAATGCTAATTGCGGTGTCGTTGCAGTGTCGATGTAGTGTCCTTGAAGTGTCGTTGTTAACTCTTTTTGGGTGCGTACTGCAATCGCTGCTCATTAGCGAAGTACTAGTGACTGTACTTCCTCTGAGTCAGAGCGTTCTCTGAGTCAGCTTCTGTTTTGGCTAGCGAAAGAGTTAAAGTGTGATAAAAGTGCAAGATGAGTGCAAACCAGAGAGAGACTGCTTCAGAGGATTGGAGCGACTGTCCAAGTCCTAGTTGCTACAGTACCATCTTTATTGATTGTTTTAAGGGCTAAAAACTAAAAATCAACACTGAACAGTTTTTTAAACTGTCTGACCAGCGGTGATCCACAGGCCAATTTCTGAGTTCTTTTCTAAAGGAATGACCAGTGAACGAAGCTACCTAATTGGCAGTAGCTTAATGTCGTCTGATCAAAAGCGTCGTTCCATATTGGTTACGTTGGGAAATTTTTTCTTATAAATTGTCGAATGGTTAAAAAATTTGCAGTAGGAAACTGGTAAATAAAGTCATTTGTTTGATATTAGCTGACATTGTTTATCACCTATTTCTGTTTCCCACTCGGTTCAGTGAATAGTCCGAGTAAAAACGTCGATTGCTTCTAAGCATTAGAAATCAGCAATCAGTTCAGATTCAGTTTCGAGCAGATATCATTACGATAACAGCTGGTGCTGCCATCTCGTGTCACTGAAGAAAGGTAGAAATAAAAAACAAAAAGCACATGTTTTCTCTTTGAAAACGGACAACAGTGTTCAACACTGAGTGTTGACAACAACCTCCCGATTCGGGAGTCCCGATAGAATCTTAAGAACAACGCGGAAATATCATGGGCCGTTTTAATCGAGCTCAGGCGTGAGCCTTTTCCAATATGCCACCTTCCGGAGCACTACTATCGCCACCGGACGGAGCTGCAGAAACCGTCGACGCGCGTCCACGACCACCCGCCGGACTTTTTCGATCTGAAGTACAACAATCGAGTGAAATGAGTGTAAGTTTGGAAGTCAGGATGAACTAGTGATGAAATCTAATTCGGATTCTTTTTCCTTCCCCTTTGCAGTGAACGCGTCCCCGAAGTTCCCATTGAGGTGATGTACTCGAAAGAGGCCGACCTCGGTCTCTTGGGCGGCGAGGGCATCGTCAAGGGCTACGTTAATTCGCGAAAGTACTTCCAAGCCGATTGGCCGTAAGTCAAACAACAGTTCATCATCATATTTAGTGATTTTAATTCATAATCACCAGCTTTAGTCGACCAAAGTACTTCTTTCCTGAGCTGAAGAAGGCGGTACTGTTAGACGAGATTCTCGACAAGCACTTCACCTTCATCAGCTTCGGCAAACATTGGCGCTGTTTGACGAGCACCACTGCCTGGATGGTTACATTTTAAGTGAGTGGATGTTGGGCGAATTGAAACATCACCTGATCGCTTATATTGTTTTCACTATCCACTAGAAACACCGGTCCAAGATCTAAAGTCGCAGCTGGCGCTGCAACTTTGCCGAGAAATGCTGCTGACGCTGCTGATAAAAAAGAGGACCTGTAGAAATGAGGCGCACAGAAGTGAGATCCGCAAAAAGTACACCGACTGTGTGACGATGTCGCCCGATGAGGCCGAGTGGTTCGGCTTTTCGACGATGGACGCGCTCACGTAGACCAAACTGGAGACGACGAAGAAAACCGCAAAAACGAAGCAGCCGCTCAAGTACGAGCTCAGTCGGAAGCTCATTGAGGATCTAAAGAGTAGGTCTTGTTCGGAGTTTGTTTTCCATATTTTCAACCAATTTACTTTTAGATTCCAAGAACAGCATCAATTCTGAGCCGAGCAAACCGACTGTGTAAGAAACTAAAGCTAACATTTTTAATTTTTATCAACCTTATGCACTTTTTCTCAGATGGATGGACAGGTCTAAGTCTTCCCTTGGCCTGAAAACACCACCATTCACAACGTAGCTGCTCAATAAAAGAAAGTACAGGTATGTGCACAGTGCATAGGGAGTGGTGTCAGTAACAGTGTACCGCATTTCTAAATTTTGATAAGTTATCCTGTACCTTTTTAAATGAACTTTTTTTGGGTCTGGAACGTTGAAGAGAACTTTTAGTATCTACTTTTTTTATTAATTGACCAGAAAATTAATAACTTTTTTTCCAAGTAAGCAGAGATACAAAAGACCCAAATGCACCACTTTAGTAATCATCACCATTTATATTATTTGTATTTTATACATTTAGTATAGTAAACTAACATAAAGAGTTATGTCGGCAACAAAAGCAAAATCGAAGAAAGAAAATGATCAAATGGAATGAGAGAGAAAAATAATTACAGCATTTAGTGGGCGCGTCAGCGTGATTGTGTGTCTTTCGGGTATGGTACAAAAGAGTAGGAGTCAGAAAAGTGAGAGGGAGAGGGAGAATAGTATAGTACAAACAGTGAAATCAAAACAATTCAAGGCCATGTGTAGGTGGCAGATCTGATGTGAACAGTTGCTGGAGTGTCGGTGTGTGTGTGTGTGTGTGTGTGTGTTTCAAACAAGAACAAGATGGACAGGCATGGACAGAGGATGAAAAAAAGTGTGTGTGTGTTTCCTGTTCCATCTGCAGATCGTACGAATCGTATGTACAGGCGGCAGAAAAAGACAGAAAGAAAAGAGGAGAAAAGTGTCAAATGTACATCAGTTGCAAAGTCATCTNGATGATGAAAAAAAGTGTGTGTGTGTGTGTGTGTTTCCTGTTCCATCTTCAGATCGTACGAATCGTATATACAGGCGGCAGAAAAAGACAGAAAGAAAAGAGGAGAAAAGTGTCAAATGTACATCAGTTGCAAAGTCATCTTTTCCCGCCTTCCCTCTCGCTTTTCATCTCTTCAATTAAAAACATATTTGCTAACGACTTCGTTAACGGGCTCAAATCGAATTTTTCTTCTTCTTTTACTGAAGCAGCATTAGCAGCATTGTCAGCAGGCCAACCAAGCGACGACAGCAGATTTGTTGACCAGCAGCAGCTAACACACAGTAGCATACACAGTCGCAGATTTAAGTCGCCGTCACCCCCAGAGCCGAGCCTAGAACGAGATTCTGCTCGACAGCATCGAAGTGGGCGCACCAATCCAGTTAGCAAAACTGCCGAAGTAGGCGAGATGAAGAAGGAGAATGGCTGCTGAAAGGGGAGAAGGAGACAGTCAGTCACAAGATGAAGAAAGAAAGAGGTTTGAACACAAAAGCTAGCTAAAGAAGTCCTCGTTTCGACAGAAGCGAGTTAATTAAAGTGTAAGGGTCAGCGGCGGCGGATTTTAAAATAATGAAAAGGCCCACCAAAAAAGTAATCATTAACACTACGTCTTGTCTTTCCTTCTTTGCCAGCATTCTAAATTGAAATTGAAAAGCCGCCGCCGATTTGATAAGCGCTGACAGGCGGCGGCAGACCCTGTTTTTGTTTTTGTTGTTCGGCAGACACTCCAGTTTCAGTTCCAAGTTTTAGCTTTCAGCTAAGCTGGACACTGTCTTATTTTCTCGTTCTCGTCCTAACTGCCACTGACATTGGTGCTTACTGTGCTGCTGCTGGACTTCTCTACTGCACTTTTCTCAGCTACCAAAACAACACGGTTGATCCAAGAAAAATGACTCTTTCTTTCTACTTTCTCCCCCCACACTTACCTGTCATCGTTAACTGGTGATGACTACTTCTTCCACCACCAGCAGCTGCTGCACTACTTCCCGCCAGGTGCAGTCCGGAGCTTTGCTTGGACGTGCCCAGGTGCACCTCGGTCACCTCCGAGTAGATGGTCTTCTCCATGGAGGCGGTGCACTTGATGCGGTACTGGCGGACGGCGTTGCTGTTGGCCACTGCCGCCGCCGCCGCCTTGGCTGCCGCAAAGCTGCTCGAGTAGTGGACGTTCTGGCGCAGTTTGGAGCCACCTATTCCACCACCTCCTCCTCCCACTCCATTTCCAGTGCCTGGGGCGGGCAAATCGACGGCCTCAACACGAAACTCTAGCCCCAACTTGGAGGCGAGCAGGCCGCCGATCAGGCGGTGCACTGGATAGGAGCGAATCTGGCTGGCGTTTGCCTGCAGAAGGACAAAATGAAAAAGAGGATAATTAATGGCTAAAACTGGTTGTGTTTAGTGAAAAGTGGGAAGTGGTAGTAAATGCCGCAAAGTGGTGACTCCAAAATCCCGAATCCCGAAAGTGGCTAATCGAAAAGTTTTGGCTGCGTTTTTTACATTTTTTAAAACAGTTCTGCTTGACCGTATTGACCGGATCTTCTCGATCGGGGGCCAACTCGACTGTATCATCATCATCATCACCATCTCGTATTGGAGGCTTTTAGGCGAATCACGGAGTTTAAAATCGGCAATCGATAGGCGAACACAGTCAGTTGGTTAGTGTGTGCGTGTGTTCAGTGAATCCCACTTGCTTGCAAAGACTGGTAGTAGCCATAAAGCTTTTAGCGAGCACAGGCGACAAAGCAAATCCAGTGCTTAGCGAGTTAGAGTGAAAAATACCGAGGCAAAAAAGTGGGGATTTACTACCATCACAAACAGCAAAACCTTCGCCTGGCTCATGTAAATCTAATCTAAAAGCCGAGTTTTTGTTGTTGTTGTTGTTGTCTTCTTGTTTCCAGGACCAACACTGTTACAAATTTAGTAACAGCAGCATCATTCGACGGACAATAATTCAATTGCCTGTGACACTGCTGCTGCTGCTGCTGCTGCTGCCCAATTTCATTCTAATGCTTATCTAATGACTGTGAGAGCAAGACATTCTTGTCTGGCTTTAATAATCGAAAGAAGAAAGATGTAGTGGTGCATCTTTTTCTTACTCTGTCGTGTGTTCATGTGTGTGATTGTGATTGTGTCGGTGGCACCAGTGGCTAATAGTGTGAGTCAGCTTCTCTTTTTCCATTCTCGTGCTAAAGGGGATAACAACAACGAGAAAAACAACAACAAAGACGTTGAGTCTCGTTACTGGTTGTGCTAGCTGGCGCTAGTAAGTTCAAACTGGTAAGAATGGTAATCAGCAGACACTGAGAGTGAGAGTGTGTGCTAGGCAGGGCACAAAAATGCAATATAAATTACATTACAACTGGCGCACAGACCAAAGGGCTTAGTCTGCAGCAGTGTTTGTGTCCTTCTTTCTGTGAGCATTGACTGAATTGACACACACACACAGATACACAGTGCAAAAGCGAGTAAAAATTTAAAATTTTGATCTAATTTTCCAGCAGCGAGCGAATTGCACATTGCAGTGTTGGTGGTGGCACGGGCAACCAACACACACACGAGGGGGCATCAAACAAATGCGCCGCTGATTTGATGATGAATTTGAACTGCTGCTCCTGCTGCTGGTACCAGTTTGCAGGGCTTCATAATATCAGACCCAGAGAATGAAGAATGAGTTTTGGGCGACTTAGTGACTGCTCACTGTCTTTCCCTCTCTCTTTCTATTAAAATTCAGTGTCTGCTTGTGATTGTGTAAGTTGCAGTGCTGTACTCGGTCGCTGGGGAAGCTTTAGGAGCTCAAGGAAAGGAGGAGAAAGAGAAAGGGAAAAAGGGAAAAAAGGTTGCACACTGAACAACAAACAAATATAATTGTCGAATTGTCGCCAATTCTAAAATACTGCTGTCAATTCGCCTCTCAGTGATTACAGTAGCTGATGGTGCACTGCAGTGTGCACAGTAACCCAGCGACACGAACAGTGTCAGTTCAAGTAACCAGTTTAGTTTATCTGTTTTCCAAGAAAAGTAAAAGAGTAATCGTTCCAAGATGGATANACCCAGCGACACGAACAGTGTCAGTTCAAGTAACCAGTTTAGTTTATCTGTTTTCCAAGAAAAGTAAAAGAGTAATCGTTCCAAGATGGATAGATTGCCAAATAGTATATCCTTTACTGTTGCTGCTGCTGCAGTTGCATCTGCATCTGCATCTGACATTAATTTTAACTTAATAGCTTTCTAAAAATTCTCCTCACTATCATCATTCTCATTTTCTGCTGCTGCAGTTTCACCACCGCAGCAACAACTCTACAGCGCAATCATTTGCAAAATTATTTTTTTCGGATTTGAAAATGCTTTTGCCTAAACTAAAAAGAAGTGCCTTTTGCTTACCGGCAAATCATTGACGATGAAACTCAGCTTGGGCGCCGTCTTGGCCCGTGAGATGCACGTCAGATTGAGAATGTCGCCGACGCGGTATCCGGTGCTCTTGATGCCGGTGATGATGGGCACGTCCTTGCTCATCGATTCGGTGACTAAAAAGAAAAGAGAAAAATTGTAACTCGAAATTGAAGATCAAAACTCCCCCAAGCATCCTACCTAGCTGCGGACTGTTGGTGTACTTGGCGTTCTCGCCGATGACCACCTCCTCGCTGTTGACATTGTACGGCTGAACGATACTGCTGAGGCAGTGCAGCTTCAGCAGGCCGTTTCGGTAGTGCGCCCGCTCCGAGTAGAACTGCAGGTCGGCTCGGCTGCTCTCCAGACCGTCCGACCGGCGAGGGCCGGCGATCAGCTTCACCGGGCCACCTCCTCCTCCTCTTCCACTGTTTGATGTCAGTGCCGGCTCGTCGTTGATCAGCCAGCTCAGCTTTGTTGGTGGCTAAAGGAAAAAAGAGAAAGAAAAAAATGGGATGCGAGTTAGTTTGGGGTGTTTTAAAAA